TAAACAAATTTCCACTCGTAAAAAGTCGCAATTCTATGACTATCTGTGGAGCATGAAATATTTACCACGCTTCAAGTGGGTGCATCTTACCGAGCGCATGAATTACGAGCAAGCCGTACATAAACAACGTCTGAACACCGAAGTATCGCAAGCGCGTAAAGAAACTACATTCTTCCAGAATAATTTGGATAAGAGTGAGTTTTTGAAGAAAAAGAGCAAGAAGGCGAGTAAGGGCAAAGAGTCGCAGGTGACGGATGAGTGATGTGGTAAAAGAAATCAATGGAAATTTTAATTTTATGTCTAAGATAATTCGGCAAATGATATTTAGCATTTAAATATTAAAAGGTTGAATCGAAAAATGTTTTATTTTTCATAAGAACACTTTTAACACGACCATGATAGGTATTAATTTGTTATGTGAAGTGCTGGACGAATTGAAGTTGGTAGTTATCTACAAATAATGATTTCCAAAATTCGATACAATTCAACATAAAACAAATAAAGAAGACGGAAGTTCAAGCGAAACCGAGCTTTTTATACTCGGCGCACAGTGTGTTGTTAAGAACAAGCTAGCTGGACAAAATTACTTTTTCACGGAATTGTATTGTATGGTGTAAGCGGGAGGGCGGATTTTTCTAATTCTCAGACATTGATAATTGTCCAAACAAAAGATCCCCCTGAAGCCAATATTGGACAGTTTGCTGCATTTTACATATCGCACATCTAGATCTAAAGTGCGATCAACTAAAAAAAAAATTCGGACGATTTTTTTGCATAAATAATTTCCTAGGACTTACCTCAAATTAATGCAAATATTTTTTTCTTCATGATTATTTACAATATAAAATTATTGTATTGTAATGATTATATAAAAAACTACTGTTATACCTGTTTTTGTATTAATTGCTTTGAATCTCTACGATCCACAAGCAATTATATTACCGAGTCTGATTTTTGAGTTAGCTCACTTTAGATCTAGTTGTGCAATATGATATAGTATATATTATGTACTATGCTATTGCCTTAAACCTTTCTATTACCTCTTCTATTTTATATTTCTATTCTATATTTCTATTGCCTTAAACCTATTACGCTGGAGAGACTGATAGACCTATAGATAAGAAAGCATGCTTATTGCAAGGAAGGTCGGTGGATACCGCGCTGCACACATTAGTTAGGTGGCTAGGTGAAGCCTTCACGCATGAAGATTATGCAGTAGGGGCCTTCCTTGATATCAAGGAGGCCTTCAACAATGTCACTCCAGTGGCAATAGTCAGGTCTATTCTTAATTTGGGCGTTGGAACCAAGCTTACTTCATGACAGAACTGTCGTGGCGGGGTGGGTGAGCACCTGCTCTCAGCGCAGAGTCAATAAGTGCACTCCGTAAGATGGTGTTATCTCTCCCTGCTCTGAATTGCGGTTGTAAACGACCTTCTAGAGGAACTGAAGAAGTGGGCATCCGGGTGATCGCCAATGTAGATGATGTGGGACTCTGGTTAAGAGAAGATTTCTTAGACACTATTTTCGATCTGGATCAAAGTTACCTGGAACAGGTAACTAGCTAGGCGGTCAACGGCGGCCTCACAGAAATTCCCTGCAATATGGAACCAGTCTTGTTTACCAGGAAGAACAACTTCTGAGATACTTCGCCGACCTAAACGGGGTTAGATCGCCGAAACAACAGCCTTTGGTCGGGTAAAACCCGGGTCATTCCGGTACGTAGAACCGTCAGCTCACAGACAGGCCCTGAACGGCATTCACAGGGACGCAGTCTCGAGTTATGTAGACTCAAGACCTGTGAAGGCCGTTCTAGGCACACAAACTTCGGACATTGGCGCGACGAAGCTCAATCTGCCTCGGGAGACCAGGACAACAATAGCCCAACTTCGCTCTGGCTACTGCAGCAGGCTAAATTCCTACCTGAGTAGGTTAAATGCTGATGTGCCGAACGAATGTCCGGCATTCGGAGGGACCCCTCACGACTCGAAACATCTCTTCGCATGCCCGGAAAACCCTACAACACTAACGGCGTCGTCCCTATGGACCGACCCCATAGAGGCTGCACGCTTCTTGGGGCTGCCGTTAGTGGAACTTGACGACAACGACTGAGATATCAGCCTATCTAGGCGGGGTTGTTGTAGCTGCTACAACAACAACAACAACCAGGAAGAACAAGATATCCTTTGTGTCTCTTCCCTCAAGTGCGAGTGCTCGTCTGTGGTTCCCAGGCAGTATCAAGTACGTAAGCTTAATTAACTGGAGCGTTTACAGCCGATCGCCCCAAATCGGAATTAGTGGAACATTAGGAACCACACCTACACCGCCACAACAACAACTTAACATCATGTTCAACACGGCGCCTGCGGTTATTGCAGACAGAATTGTCCCTGCCCGAACTGCTATTTGGCTCAGGGAAAACGGGTTGTAACACTCTGCATTTCTGGAACGCTTTTACTTCGCCCAGAACATATAAATTACAGCACCTCCGAAATGGATCCCAGAAGCTCTTTCTCTACCTATATTCCCTCAAGAGAGGACTGGGCAGGGAGGGGTTACTCGAAGAGCGGAGCGGTAAACTTCTTCACGGACGGATCAAAACTTGTACACTGGGTTGGAGGAGGTGTCTTCTGTCGGAAACTCCACCAAAACTATGTACAGGCTTCCGCACTTCTGCAGTGCTTTTTAGGTGAAAAAAACTGCCATCAAGGCAGCGGAAGACTCACTGCTAAAAGGTGTGATGGTGCGCTCGTAATCGGTAAAGGAATGTCTGACGTCTCTATCAATTGCGTCGGTGTACTTCTTAATAAGTTTAGGTGCCGAGTCATAGTGGCATCGCGGGAAATCGCGTGGCTGATGACCTGATGTTGGTGAAGCACCCTTTAAATGTTATCCCCAGATAAGGAGCAACTAGGGACGCCTCTGTCCTCCTGCGGTACGCTCTAGCGCTAGACTAACACGCATACTTCTTCTCGCGATAATGAAATCACTCTAAAAAAATTTGTGTAGATTTCCTAGCTAAAAGGTAGGTTACTGATTTCCTACCTTATTATTCGTGAAATTACATGACCGATTATTCAACGAATAGCTTGTTTAAATTTCGGACTTTTTAGATTATAATATGGCTGCAAATTAATGCAATGGTGTGCGTAAATTTACTACGAAAGTGTGTACAAGCTACAAAATACACATCTGCTGTTTGATTTCACGTGTAGAATTGTGTAAAGCCGCTAACAAAAAGGATTTTTACACACGAAAATGTGTAAACGAGAAAAATACATATTCATCGTGTAAATTTACCAAAAAATTTTAAAAATAAACAAAAATATACTCGATTCATAGTCGCATTTTCAAACAGATTTTTTAGAGTGTGGCATTCTCAACTAAATACCTAATAAATGGACAAAAGAAAGCGATGCTCCTTTTGTGACATAAAAAGGAAAAAAAGGACGTTTCTTTTCTGAACAAAATGTTTTTGTAGGGCACTTTAAAATAATCTTTACAGCGCTAATCATGCCCTTAAAGGTGATAAGCCATTGTGCGATTGGTATTCACGCTGTAAGACTAGGAATCTCAACTGATTCCTTTTGTATCAGTTGTCAAGGGAAAGATGTGGTCGAACCATCTACACACTTTCTTTTAGACTGTCTAACCTTCTCGCGGCTAAGATGGAAGCATTTTGGCTCCCATTTCTTAACTAACACTGAGCTATCAGGGATGGAAATTAGCCGCATTTGAAATTTTTTAATTGGCTCGCGGCATTTCGCTGATTAAATTAATGGTATCCGTCCAGTTTTTTCGTGGTATCACAAAGGACAATCTCTTAACAGTCCAAGTATGTCCCTTGCCTGGGATCACCACTTTAACCTAACCCAACCTAACCTGTACTTCTTTGGGCTATGAAATAGATGTTCACTTTAGTTATGACCTCATTTTCATCGATTTTCCCCGACACCAGTGTTCCAAGCGCACCTAATTTTTTTTCAACTAAGGGACGGTAAAAAAAGCTACCCACGGCAAAATTTCTTTATAAGTAATTTCCGTTTTTGTACGATAAATTTTTTTTTATTCTAAAGTCGTACAAATGTTACGACCGACATTATGGAACACCAATATGTAGTTAACGTAAAATAGCATTTTTTTGCCTTTGACGCAAAGTTTTATTCATTGACACACATTTTTTTATTTCACGCATAAAAGCGCACCAAAAATCCCAGTGTGCGATGGTCAATATCGCTTGCAGCATAAAACAAGAACAAGAAAAATATTGCTGGAATTTCTTGTTAAGCATTCGCTCTTATTTAAAATTTTATTTCTGATAATTGCGATTAATATAAAAAATATCTCTTAATTTCTTAAATTTGTGCTCATAATACAAATTTCTTAAAAATATTTAAAATATCAACAACAATAATACTCACACTTAAATATGTTCTAAATAAGTAAATATTTGTTAATCATTTCAATTAAAACAAGTAACACAGTGTTAATCTTAGCACAGCTTCATCTAGTGTAAAAATCTTAGAAAATATAAATTCTTAAGCAATAAAAATATTACAATACATATATGTACATATGTACGTCTGTATTCATATGGAATAGAAGCTTATGTCGCGAAGTTGGCTTTAGTATAATGCGGCACATTTCCTTTATTCTTTAAACGACAAGGCATTTTTTTTGATTAGACTTAATAAGAATATTGTCTCGCTAGTATCGGAACTATTTCTTTCACATTTATTTGTCAAAAGTACATCAACGGCTCGACGCCAGTGATTCATTCTCCATCGTATATATGCTGCGATGCCGCATTATACTAAAGCCAGCCGTTCAACATAAGCTACTATTCCATACGAACACAGATGCATAACAAAACAATTGGTTCACAGCCTACGCAAGTGACTCGGCATTGGAACACTATTCTCAAAGCGATTCTTGAAGAGCACAATTAAGTGGACTCGATACAAAATAAGAACAATGAATAAACAAAAAATAAATGTTTTTACTCTTATTACCCATTTACGAGCACAATGTAATATTTACAAAAAATATGTTTTAACAATATTGTATACTTATCAATCTACTTCATTGCACACGCACTTACATAAAGCTACTACTAACATTTCTTACATGAATATATATATATTTACATACAAACAAACTTATTATCAATGGATGTTCAAGTACTCTGCTATCTCAGCGCTCCTATACTAAATATTTAATCATAAAATTCTTTAATTATCTCCACAATACTCTGATAAGTGCCAGTGGCAATACCTAATAGAGAAACCAATATAATCGCCATGTTTTTCAGGTAAACCCAAGTGGTCAGGGCTTTGGGCACTCCAGCACGGATTACAAAATCGAGAATTACCGGTATTAATAGGGCCAATGACGTGGAGCAGAGTGCGCCGATAAGCGAAATGAAGAGTCCAAGTTTTGGGACAACGACAGCAACGCCAACTGTAAAGAAGAAAAGAGATAAACAATTATTGTTTTTTTTTTTATTGTAATTATGTACATATGTATGTATGTATATATATAAATACGCGGCATTGATTTGATAGGGAACACGGAGTAACAGTATTAAGGGACCAATGCATTAGAAAATTCTTCAGAAGAAGAAAAATTCTTATTACAAATTTTCTAGTGGCTCGGTTAAGAAAGAAAGTTGTAATGTTTCCTTCAATATACAAGGAGCTTTAGGGATATGCTTAATTCTATGCAAAATTAAAAAAAAAATAACAATTATTTTTTATTTTTATTTTATAAATCCAAAATAACAATTATGTTTAATTTTTATCTAAATATCTGTAAATACCAGTAATTTTTATTTTTTTGTTATACTATATGTCTTAGATAACAGATATTGAAGACTTTTATTTATAAAAGTCATCAATAAAAATCAGTCACCGACTTTTATTTATTAAGTCATACGTATAAAAGTCATTATCATTTTTCACAGTTAAGAAGGTGTTGGAGAACCAATGTTTTCTACAACTTATACAAATGACTTGTAAAATAAAAGTTAGTGACTGATTTATATTGATGGCTTCTATAAATAAAAGTTTTTAATAATTGTTATCTAAGATATATAATTTAAAAATCAGAAATAACTGTTGTTTGCAGATTATTTAGATAAAATTCAACAATAATTGTTATTTTGGATTTATAAAATAAAAAAAAACAGAACCAACTGTTATTTAAGGAGTAATTACATAAAAGTTAAACAATAATTGTTATAGAGCGATTTGTTGGTTGTAACTGTTACGGTCCCTGTCAAGAAAAAGGCTTCTTTTACAGTATGGTGACAATTGCACTGCCAAAGATTCAAGAAGTAGAAGTGACAATCGCACTGCCAAAGATTCAAAAAGTACGAACATTTTAATAATTTTCATTAGAGGCCTCCCTCAACATGCCTATACGACAACGATCGTCAAATCCTTACAGCTGCTTTTTTGGGTCGAATGATGCAGCAATTGATGCCTTTAACTATAGCTCTAATTTTTCCTAACGTAAGTTCTTGAAAACACTGTGATGGTATCGCGTGCTCCCACTACTCAGTAAGGCGTGAACACGTATTTCAATAAGGCCAAAGGAACTGGGTGCACTGTAAGCACTTCAGAGTTTTTGTAGCAACATAATACAACAAATATAAGGGAAGCAAAGAGGAAAAGCTTCTGCGGTAACATAAAATTTACTACTGTAGCGGGAGTTCATAAAGCCTTCATATGCCCCGTAAGCAATCCGGTAATAACTCTGCAGTATTTCTTTGATAGTCGTCGCAAGAAGCGAGTATAATTGCTTCCGCTGTTTTGGCACATAGTTTTAGTAGTTTGGAGGTGGTTAACTTATTCCATCTAGCCATGAACTGCCGTCGTCTATTTCGTTGTACAAGTTTTGGAGTAGTCTACGAATAATGGCTTCCTGGCTGCGTAGGCCGTTTTTGGATGAAATACCATATGACGAATCTGCTCTACGTAATCGCAAAAATCCTGCCACTGATAGATCGGTTATATAGCTTGAGAAATAATTTGTTTAAAGATAATTTTATCAAAGTTGATAAATCTGAATTTTAACCGGTTTTATTATACAAATACTTCTGTGTGCAACGTGATTTTCTTGGTAACTGTGACGAATATTCTTTTCCCCTGATTTACAAACTTTTCCGCATTCTGGCTACACTTCAAGCTACTAAAACTACATACTTCGCCAATGCGTTTTTCAACCCATTCAACCCTGCCAGAAAATTTTTGGGTATGAAGTTTTAATTATAGCAAAATTCGCGCTGATTTTTGAGTTTTTTTTTTTTGGTTGCAGGCGTTTCGCATTTTCATCCACACAAAATACTTATGTATGTTCTAAAATACTCGTATTTTTATATGGAAGAAAATGCACAACTTCGAACTTGCACCTTATCATCTGAAATTAAATTGACTATAAAATTGCATGCCCAAAACTTTTCTAAAAAATCCGATTAAAAAATGTAAAATTTTGGTAGCAAATTTTTGAAATTGGTTGAATTTTCGCAAATTTCGCATTTATTGACAAATTTTACATGGGTAAATTTCTTGATTTCAGCATTACGAAAATTACGATAATGTCAACATGCTTTATAAAATACTTTTTCTCTTCAAAATTTTCAAATCGCTAAAATGAGAACCCCGAAAATTAGAATAAAATGTGTAGTCAATTTAACCTTATTTGACAAGTGGACCCAAGTCTCTTTACATTACACTTTTTGCATTTTCGATATCGTGTGGAGTCCCATACTTTTTCCTAATGACAACAACCTTTTTTACAACAGTTTTTTTGCTCTCCTGAAAGGTACCCATTTTCACATTCGATAGTTTGACATGGTAGCGACAAAATGATCGAAAAAGTAAAAATTTCATTTTTAACGGTGAAATTACGACTTTGATTATAAAAACTAAATATATTGTATGTCTCGACTTCATACTCACATGTGCACAAAACCATAAAGAAACGCAGCAATACTTGAAATGTAATTGGATACTTTTGTGCAGCGCCGCACGACTGCTTCGTAGGAGCCCAGATGATCTTGATTAGAATGAAGAATTGTATAGGGTAACCGAAAAATACGCCCATTGCGGCCACGATTTTAACGACCTGCGACAATCTGCAAATAAATAAGAAGGTAAATAATAAATATTCATGCATACTCGTATCGCTCCACTACTCGCTATTTCAAACTTACATTTCATTTGGATTCAAATTCAAAGTAATGCTGCCCTCAACCTCTTCGCCCCAGCGCAGATATCCAATGGAGCCGGTGAAAATGAAGAGTGCCGTAACTATTACCATAGTTATATTTAGCACACCAAAGACTCTCGTGAAATTTTCTGGATTTCGCATTTTGTTGCGTAAAGGCAAAATCAGAGCAATTCCTTCGTATGAGAATAGCGCAGTGCCGAAGAATAGTGCCATTTGAGAGGGGCTAGTTATTAGATGGCGTTCACTTGGTGAGGGTAATGGATCTTTCAGCGCTATCCCGAGCGTGGCAAAGAGGCCGAAGAGTAACGCAAAATTGGCCAACATCGAAACTGGTGAAATATATTTGATATTGGTGAGCAGAGATGGTATCATTGCAGGCAGTAGGGTGATGGCCATTGTAGTAGTCGCACTGATGTCAACGCCATTTTGAATAAGAACCTGAAAGCAAAATAACACTTGTTTATAAAAGTCATGTACATACATACATACAGTATCGGTAATATCTACAGCATGTCATTTCAAAGTGATATTGTTTGCCACTTATGTTTATTTATTTTTAAGAAATTTCAATTAAAATACAGTATATTCTCTTAGAAAATTTTAAACTTTATAATAGAATGAACTGTATTTTAATTGGAAATTCTTATAAATAAGTAAATAGACAAAGTGGCAAACAATATCACTTTGAAATGACGTTATGTAGATATGAGCCGTACCGAAGTTTGTTTAAAATAATAGAAATGTTTACCAAAAAGTTAAAACTTTAGCACACTGTAAAAAAAAGTTCTGGTTAGATGGCGCAAAAAACCTCGATGAGGATTGACCAGCTTGTGAATTTTTATATAGGCTGCGTTTCTTTATACATTCCGGATAATCCCATTTCACAGCCAGAATAAACATAATGCGTTTGAAATATACGTCAACATATCATCAGGAACGTTCTAAAGAATAAATAAACAAAAAAGTTTATTCCAAACCTTCAGAATGAATAAAGAAATGCAGCCACAAATTCTTTGAATTTTTTTTTTTTATTTCACTTGGCTACATATTTATATTGCCAGAGTATATTTACGTCGCTGGTTCCGTATAGTAAGTTTTTTTTCAGACTGGCACTTGTGTGCGAATTTTGCAAACATTTCAGTTGCTCAACATAAGAAAACCTTATTGGCTGTCGCCCTCGGCAGGCAATGGCAAACATCTGAGTATAATTCGGCTATGAAAAACAGCTTCCCATAGAAATGCAATCGCCGTTCGGAGTCGGCTTAACACTTTAGGTCCCTCCCCTTTGCCTGGCAACATCTAGGCGCACGCCACAAATCGGAGGAGAAGCGTCAATCAATGCTGCTTGCTAAATAAACGAAGTCGTCTACTTTTTCAAACTTTTTTCGCGGCATAGAGCCAACTTCTTTTCATACTGTAGTAAGCGGCTTTGAAATCCACAAATATGTGGTGTCTTTTTCAATGTTGGGCCTACGTTGAATACCTAGTCTATGGTGGATTTTCTGTGCCAATCAGTTCATTGATGGTAAGACCTTGTACCCAATGCTTAGAAGGCTGATATTGCGGTAGCTGGCGTGTATGGCTGGGTCGCCTTTCTTGTGGATTGGTCAGAGCACACTTAAATTCCAGACGTCGGACATGCGTTCATCTGACCATATTCTGCATAAGAGTTGTTGCATGCACTTTATGAACTCCTCGCCATCGTACCTCGTCATAGTTGGGCGGTGGGACATCGAGTCCGTTCATCGTCGACTAGGACCTCGGGTTAGCCTTCTAAACTAGCTTCAATAGGTTGGAAAAGTTTTCCCTACATAATTTAAGTACATACGTTCGGCACATCGGTCTCTAGGTCGCAATGTTTATTCTTACTATTCCTGGTCTTGATACCTTCCCTAATTCGCATAAACTCTGTTAAAATTTTCGAGCGTTTCAAGCTCTTCGCACTTCCGTATTTCGGCCTCTCTCTTATTATTACAGAAAATACAAAATACGACTCGAGTCCCTCTTGGGTCGTTTCGTCGTGGAATACTATTTGTCAAAAATATGACCATAAAATTCGATGGATCTCTAGACTTTCTCAATCAAAGTTATTCTACAAATGTTTACATATTTGCAAACATATGCGACCAAAAAAAACCTATCCTAGCGACTTATGTATATCCACTCGTCGAAGATGAATACATGTCATAACTGCCCAATTTCAAAGTTCTTCTATGCATTTTGCAAGGATCGACGAAGGATTGTGAAACTGAAGGACATACATATGTATGTATGACCAAGTAAAGCTCTTGTGCAGATCAAAAAATTAACCATCCTCAAAATTGAGAGTGCAAAGTAATAGTTCTCGTGGAGAGAAGTTGCCAATTCTTGCAGGGAAATTTTTTGCCAACACGAATTTGCAATCACGAAAAACATACATACATATGATTGTGGCACACGTGTGCATTTTTGTCCACGATAATTTTAAGAAACAATTTCGTTAGATTTCAAATTTTATAAACTTGAGCGATTTTCTAGCGAAAAATGTATCACGGACTTTACCACTTTTTAGCTATATTATATTATCTACCATGTTTTACCAACCGGGATATTCGATAAAAAATCCGGTTTATTCGATAATCGAAAAATCAAGATTTCAAAAAACCGCCTTTAGCTATTCAAAAAAAAAAACTAGTGGAAACCAGTTTGGAAAAACCGAGTTAATTACCCTAGTAAGCCTGGTTTTAACTAGAAACGCCTACCAACATGTATTTCGACTTTCGCAATTTATTCGAAATTTCGGGTATGTAGGAGCTTATCGGACCTCATATTCGGATTCAGCGGGTCGAAATAAATGTCGGTTGTTGTTGTTGTTGTTATTGTGGTAACGGCTACAACAATCCCGCCCAGATCGGTTAGTCCCTCAATCGTTCTCGTTTAGCTCTACTAACGGCAGCTCTAGGAAGCGTGCAGCCTCGACGGGGTCTGTCCATAGGGACAGGGGCGTTAGCGTGGTGGGATTTAGAGGGCATACGAAGAGATGCTGTGAGTCATTGGGTGACTCTCCGCATGCCGGGCATTCATAGAGAACATCTTCGTTTAATCTGCTCAGGTATGAGTTCAACCTGCTGCAGTGGGTGGGTCTGGTTAAAAGTACACCACTTTTTAATGCTGGTGATATTATTATTAATAGGCGTGCTTTATTTGACATGATATTTAAGATATCAGCTTATTTTGTATGGAAGACTTAGCCAATATAGTTATGCAATTATTAACTAAAATTTCCGATTGTTATAAACATAAATTGGATTTTTTTGATCACTTCACTAACCTGATGCAAATTTTCCGTAATGAAAACGAAATATATCGAACAGAAACCAAATTGTGTCACACACAAGAAAGTCTCCACAATTGTTCTCATCAGTTTAGACAATTTTCGCATGGGTGGTGGTCCACATTCAAACACTTTTTCCACTGTATCTGGATAATCGAAGAATTCGACGCCTGGCGCCTTCTCCACCGCCAGAATCGAGCCATCGATCAACAAGCGTTCGCAATGCACACAAATAACCGCTAGAATAGGCAGAAGCACTGTAGCGCCGACTAGACCACCATTCTTGAAGCAATCGCCCATGGCGAAAAGGCCAGCGCCCACATTACCTTTGAAGAGATGAGTAGCCGTTTCTAAGTTGCTGCAAAAAACAATAAATAAATAACAACAAAAAAATATATACATATATGTACATTAGACTGCACCACCAAAAAAAAAGTTGCGGTTTTTCCGCCCGGATTACAAAATCTATTATATTTCAAGACGTCCACAAATATATTTCGGAAAAATATTAAGATTTACGTGAGCTGGACGGGATTTGAAAATACCTCCAAAAATGCAGTTTTTTATGAATAAAAATAGTTTCTTAAATAACTTTTTGAAAAAAATGCCCTCAGATGACGAAACAGAGTAAACTTAAAAAATCTTCATAAAAATATATAAAAATCTTTTTTTCAACGGAATCGTAATAATGAGATTTTTGATGCTGTTTTTTTTACTTTTTTCAAAGATTGATTTACGAAAACTTAAATAAGTTGGCCAAAACTATTCTGATTTAGACTTATCGGGTATCAGTAGAAAGGTATTTTCCCACTAATTTTTATTTCTTACCTCATTCACGTCCAGATCACGTAAATCTTAGTATTTTTCCCAAATATTTTGGTGAAAGTTTTAAAATATAATAGATTTTATAATTCCAATGGAAACACAGTACCGATTCTTTTTTTTGTATAGGGTGTGATGCAGTCTAATGTACATACATACATATATGGAAAAAAGTATTCATATAAAAAATTCGAAACATTCAACATATCAAAAATTAAATTATGCAGTTATTCACATACATAGTTACATTCGTGTATTTGCATACGTGCACATGTACATATGTATGTATGTAAGCCATGGAAAATTTTATACTCGACTTGATATGGCTAGTGCCTGAAGTGTCTCTATATGTTTGCGTATAATACATAGTATGTGTATTATAATAAATAAAATTGCGAAAAAGTGCATACCTTGTGCGGTGAGTCTTGCTAACACCTGTTCCCTCAACATCTGCACCCAATTCGTTGGTGTCTTTGCCATTTTTCACTTCCAATGTTACGCCCATATTCTGTTACTTTTACGCCTCACTGTCTATTTTGGTTTTGCAAAACTTATTTATTTTTGTTCAAAATTTATTTTCTTCAAACGTAATATCTTTGATTTATTTTTATTGTGCTATTAACTGCGAAATTCTGCTTATGCGTACTTAGTTTAATGTTGTGATTTTTGCTTGTATTTGACTAGTCTGATCTTTGACGCCCTTGACTGTGTTTGAAGTGAATAACGGTCAAGACAGTCATGAACCAACTGAAAAAGAAAACATAGAAATAAATAAAGCATTTGGTATTGTGTTTTGATTGAGTGACTTTGCTTAGAATTGAGTGTGGTTTTAAAAGTTACAATGAGCAAATTTCACCTAGAGTTTTTACCGGTATTTTACGGTGGATAAGAAATAATTAAACTTCCCTACATATTTCTTAAAATATATTACTATACTTTTTTAATCCGCGCAAAAAAAAAACTGTGGCCTGGAGATATATTAAAATTCCTCAAATAATGTTTCACAACAAAATATGTAATTAGCAAAATGGTTCAAAATTCGAAATAAATTACTGCAAGTGAGTGAATTATGTTTCTAACGGAACTTTTTGTAGCCATTTAAATTTTTTGGTTAAAGTCACTTCTTTTTTTTGTACAACTTAAAAACCGGAATGACGGTTCAATGTACCAGAGATGTCAGTTTTCAAAAAACATCGATGCAGGATCGATGTTTTCAAACATCGATGTTTTTATGAACTATAACGTAAGACGGAAACCATCGATAGTCGTGTTAATAGTATCGATAGTTTGCCAGCCCTATGCCATTTTTATTTTACGACTGCAGATGTCGCAATTACCATACAAATATACTATGTATGCACACATCAACTTGAACGATATGTACTCTTATTTTTCTTTTGTGACAAGTGATTGACACAGGAAAATTAAAAGCAAACTGTCGACATAATGCACTTGACTTAGTGACAAGGAAATATAAACAAAGTGCTTTTTAAGATAGGTCTTTCCCGATTTGTCTATGCTAATTTGCCGCGCTTACCATTGTACCCAAGTGTTACGTTTTTTTAAATAGGGAATTCCTTTAATAGCAAATGATTCTCGAAAAGCTCAAAAGTTAAAAGACTTTTACATAAGTGCCAAAATTTATATGAAAATCATATGAGAGTTTTGAACTTTTTTGCCCAGAAGAAATGCATGCGTAGGCATGGGTAGAGATGTACATAACTATGAGTATCATAATTACATCACAAACACCATTAATCTGTAACGGATCGATATGAACAAGTGATTTTTAAGCAAAAAACCAACTGAAATTGGGACCACCTTGATGCACCACCTTTCAAAAAAAATGATAATTTACGAAATCGGTTGCGGTAACACACATACATAGTCAAATAAACCCAACGCGAATAACTAAAATAAAAACTCGAAATCCATTTTTGTCGTATTTTTTACTTTATGAATTACTTCCAGCAAATAAGCGAATTATATGTGCCCGATTTATTTGCTTTAAATATTTAATTAAGTAATTTATATATACCTACTTATAAAAGAATTTTTTTCTTAAGAGATTTTAATCATTATCGTGTATGATCGCTAATTGGAGTACGCATTTTTTTGATTCAATTAACATGTTAAATTAGTGGTGATAAATCATACGGAGGAATTTTTATAACGAGCATTGTATATTGCTCCAGTTTAACTGCCATAAGCTCATTACATACATACATACATATGTATGTATATAGGTATTACTCGTGCAAATTTATGCCAACATACATATATACATTAAACTTCTGCATGAGTACAGTAGACTTGGAAATTCTACTTCATATACAAAACACTCTGCGTTCTGAATTTTGTAATTTATGAAAATTCATTTCGTTTTAAATTTTCCACATACCTTCAAATGGAAGAATGTGAATGAATGAATGAAAAACATTTAAATCATTCAAACTCATTTTGGTTAGATTTTTTTTACAAACAAATTTTTTCATATAAAAATCTTGCTGTTCTCTACACATGAACGCATGGTACTGGGAATTGAAGAATCATTTAGAGCAAATTGAAACTGTGCATATAAAGTTGACAACAAGAAAATTTACACATATTTTTCCGCTATTTAAGAATGGACATACATATCGGGCCCTAACCGCCAAAATAACGTAAGCGACATTTTTTCAAAACTTTATTCTTGATGCAGAAATATTCTTAGAAAATTTTGAAAAAAATGTCGCTTACGTTATTTTGGCGGTTAGGGCTCGATATGTATATATCTTCTATTTAGCTACAAAAAGCTAACTTGAAACTAGTTGACTAGTAATGCAGGAGTAATGAAGGAGATTGTTTTCTTTAAACTCGTTTCTATTTAAATAGTCTGCACTTCGCAAATACTTTTTTAAATTGAGGACGAATAAAAGGAAGATCGAAATTTCAGATTATCATTTTGAAATTATGTCTGACGGAGTTCGAATATGGGACCACCTACAGCAGAATATGAAAACAAGTAAATAAAAATAAAAAAATAAAAATAAAAATATTTTGTTTTTCCTATTGATATTTCATGTCCAAAAGTAATTAGTTATACTGGTATAATAACTAAAAGAAGTATGTACTATTGACAGCCAAAATCAAGCTCCTTTAATCACCTTTTCTATGGCCGGATTGCAAAATACAAGTTGGGGGGTTCTTACGGGACACTGTCTTACACCATCTCACGCGTTCAAGATAGGACTTACACAGAGTAAAGTATGCATGGCAGATTTCGGAAGATCAGGATTGAGCTACTAAGCTCTTGTTACTTATAATAACTAAAATAAATAGCAGACCAAAGCACAACAAATTTCTAAAACTCGCTAAAATATGAATCATGACTACTAATTATACATCAACGTTGCATTGTTGCATCGCCCCGATGTACCCAGGCAACGTAAATATAATTATATTTATGCATTAAAATGATTTAAACCAATTCTA